AGATCCTAGGTGTGTTTTGGTCTGGTTGTTGAAAGAAGCTTGATAGAATAGAGAAAAAAAGGAAAGAAAAGAAAAGGGAAAAAAAAATGTTTGAAAATTTTATAAAATGAATACAATAAAATAGATAAAATGAAATGATGAAAGTAAATTACAATTTTAAAAATATTATAAAAACTAAAATATATAGTAGAAAAAAATTAAAGAAAAATCTTTTATAAAAACGGAAAATAAAAATAATTTTTTCTCTTTCTGTATTCAAGAATAAGAAAAGAAAAAGAAAAAATTTGAATAGATGGACCAGCGAACAGAATGAAATACAATTGAAGTTACATCCATGTTCCCCCAGAAGTCAAACTATGAAGCACTTTATAACCCATAAACTTAGCAGGCGGAGAGACTTGTGGTGTTTCTCCAGAGGGTAGTTGGCACAGTTGGACAGGGCTTGGTGTAACAGCTCAATTCTCCACTAGATGGCGCTGCTTAGCTTAATGGGGTGGATCATTATGGATGAGTACGCCTGTATGTCATGTACAGGAGAGGTGAAAATGGCATCACCCAACTACCAAGTCTCTGGTATCAGAATTATGTGCTCTCGCCCACTGGCAATCAAGCACCCCTGCTTTGTCTTTGGCTTCCGTCCACTCCCTGCTTCTACACCATCTGCAACCAAGCCATCAGCCTGCCAGGTAGCATCTCCCTCCCAAGTTTTATCTCAGATGCAGCTGTGTTTCCAAACCCCTCACTTCTAAGGGCCCTATGGCTTTGACCTACTCCACCCCTCTGGAGGAGGGTCTCCCCAAGCAATGGCCAGGTGCCAGCCATCCCCAAGAACGTTCCTGCGACCGCACTGCTGTAGATGCCCAGAGACTGCCACTGGGTGCCAGCCCGACCCAGAAGAAGTTCACATGATTGTGTAGCACCAGCGTTTCAGGGATTATGGTAAATCACAACACACATCTGGCCCCAAGCTTCACTGCCCCTTAATGTCCTTGTTCCAACATCAGCAAACATGGCTCTTCTCCAGGGTCCACTGGAAACTTTGCCACACTGCCTCTACCAAATGTCCTCCCAGCAGGGGACCCACCTCTCCCCGTGTGGCCCAAGGACCCCTGGGACCTTGCTGTCTTCTCCTGGGGATTCGCCCTTCCCACCAGAGTACTGCTAGGTATGGAGCTGAGGAGTTTCAGACTCTGGGATCCCCTGTTTATAGAGTCCTAATGGTATTGAAACCCTTTCCTTTCTCCTTTCTCCCTTTCTTGTTAAGTCCCTTATGGGTGTTTCCACTCTTTCTCTTTCTCTCCAGCT